TATTGAAAGTCTTCTGTTTTACGAGCAAATCTTTCCAATAAGCACCTCATTTCGTCAAAAGCTATTCGCCGACACGGTGCGTTTTCTGCGCTATAAGTCCCGCAAAAGTATCATGCAAAAAGATATTCCCCTCCCCATTCATATTTTGTTGAGGCAGCGAATTGAATTTGAGAATTTATCGTAACGAACTTCCGTTTCTTCTTGACTGATGCGTAAAGAAGTTGGATTTACGAGGCAGTTACATATTCCAAAGTGCCCTTGAAAAGGAGTCGACGGTTAATTGGAAGAAGGGACTAATCGGCGCCAAAGAAGATTGGAAGAAAAAAAGAAGAAGATACTTTTTCAATTCATATATATGATGATCGAAGAAACCGACCTTTGCCCGAATTTCTCTCTCTCTATCTTCCGGATACGCTTACTAAGTTTTTGAAATATAGTATCCAATGGAATGAGGATTAAATTCTTTTTTTATTTTGACCGCTTGCCATTTTTTACGTAAATAAGTGGCCGCTGATCTTTGTCCTTAAATGTGAATAAGAGGAACAATTTATCTGATTAATGCCAATGTGAGGAATGAGGAATTTCGATTTTCTTTATAGTTGAAATATTTCTTAGGTCGGTGGGTCACTTCTTTTTCTCAATAGTTTATTATACTCCCTGGGTTGCCCTGGGTCCCATAGTGACCTATGGGTGCTCTGCCTCGTCAATGTAACTTGACGAACGATTTTCTAAAAACCAACTGAATTTTGGATCTAGGTATCTAAGAATTTCGGTTATTGAAACGTGGTTTCATTCGGGAAAAAATTACAGTGACCATTTACCGACATTTACCGACAGTTATCAATCTTTTTTTAGAGGCATTAAACATTTTTCTATTCATAATTAAAACCACTAGTTATTAGTGTATTGTAAAGAGAGTGGAAAACTATCTTCAGTGGAAATGTTGCGAGTGCATCAACGACATCAATGCAATGCGGCAGTTGCATCGGGTCGAGATAATTAGGTTTGAGTGCACTCTGGTCGCCGCAGTCGGTAACTCAGTTATCAGTGGACACCCCGCGCACAATGGCTATCACAGCGGCATCAAACATAACGCATCAATTAACGTGAACAATAACCAAGCTGTGAGAGTGAATGAGAGAGAGAGAGAGAGAAGGGGGTGTGGCTGGAAGAGAGAACTCTCGCCAAGAGTGAGCGAGGGTTAGAGGATAGAGTCCTGGTCAATTCACTTGTTTATTGTTATTGTCTATGAAATTCGATTGCAACCGATTTCTCCCATGTGCTTTGCCTCATCATTTAAATTTCAATACTCTCCCCGATCAATCTTGACATTATTCGCAAATATTTACATTTTTTTTTTTGAAGAATTTCGCCAGCTTTTGGCAAAATTTTCTCCTTTTTGGAATCTTTTAAAGATCAGGTTTTTATCAATAAAAAGCGATTATTCGGATAGAGGTGAAATTCGTTTGGATGTAGTAAAGACATCTCGAATGGTGGACACGCTGTTTTTTTCCCCTTGAGGAGAAATGATGATTATAAACTAAAATATAAAAAAAAGTAATGGCAAAGGAGTGGATGTGAACGATACTCGTTGAAGCGACAAAACGAGTCCGTTTTCCCCGCTCCTCTTCTCTCCAATCTTTCTCTCATCCTTGCTCACTCCCAATGTCTGTACACACATATCGTAGAAAATTACATTTTGTCGGTTGTAAAAGAAAGATCGTAAAAATCGTAACGCCAAACGACGACGAAGCTGACTGCGGTGCGCGGCGAAATTGCACTGGACCACCGCCTATCCGTTGGCCATCAACATTGCTCCACGCTTGATAGACCCTTTGTAAAACGTCCTTCTACATGGGGGCTTTTATACTCTTGCTCCTAGGCTAGAGTGAATGCTCTCTGCTCTCTCTTTCTCCTTCTCTCGTAGGTTGCCTCTCATTCTGGTTGCCTGCTACCGGGCACCGCGAAATAAACGAACTTGCACACGTGTGCCTCTTGAAATGGTGAACCAACTGCATCACTGTATACGAAAGAGTGCCAACATATATTGTATACACATGACAACCACTCACTTTGGGTTACATTGTGGTCAACAAGTCGATCCACATTTCAACTAAGAAACAAGTTGCCATTCAATCAACTTGAAAATTTAAGGATGCCTCCTGTAATGCGTAACGAAATATATAATGGTAGTTGTCCCATACATTTTCAATTTTAACCAATTTATCGACTTCTTCCTTTAAGAACAATTTTACCAAAAAGATGTATTTTTCTTCCTTTTTGTCTCTCAAACTCACTTTGTTAGCATGACTTCGAACAACATTTCTAAATACTCTACATTTCTTTGGTATTTAGTCCAAAGGAGTAAATTTAAGCCAATTCAGGATTGCCACTGGTTAGGGAAATCTGGGAATTCAGGGAAAGTAAAATTGGTCAGGGAAAAGTCAGGGATTTTTATTAGCCCTTTCAGTCACAGTGGTTAATAAATCGACCACCTTTTGAGATGGTTGAAAAAAATATAAACATCCATCAGATCTGCTTGAAACTTGTTACTCGGGAGTTTTTGAGGTCACTGATTACGAATCCACTATTAGTTTTCAAAAATTCAAAATGTCGGACGAATTTTAAAAAATTTAACGGATTTACTTGAAACTTGTTACTCGGGGAGTATCGGGGTCGCTGATTACGAATCTGAAGTCGGACTTTCATTATTCAAAATGGCGGGTCCAATATGGCCATATTGGCTCCCCTATTTTGAATTTTTAAAAACTAGTACCAGATTCGTTATCAGCGACCCCAATAACTCCCGAGTAACAAGTTTCAAGCGAATCCGATAAATTTTTAAAAATTCGTCCGCCATATTGGATCCGCCATTTTGAATTTTCAAAATTTTGCAAATCTGTCCCCGGATTCGTATTTAGCGACCCCACAAACCCTATTTACAATATGGTTTATAATGTTTTGTCTATTATCCTAATTGCGTGACTGAAAGGGTTAAAGTACTGGAAAAAATTGAATTTTGGAGAAGTTATCAATAATTGCAGAAATTCAATTATTTTCAAAAGTAATAAAATTCTTCGCAGAAATTCAATTATGTTCGCAAAATTTTTTTAAAAATTCGCGTCAAAATTCAATTATCTTTAAAAATAATGAAATTCTTCTCCGAATTTCAATTATTTTCAAAAATTTTAATAAAATTCTTTGCAAAATTTCAATTATTTTCAAAAAATTTCCCTCAATTCAATGATTTTCAATATCCATTTTCATAAAATTTTTCAAAGAAATTCAATTATTTAAAAAAAAGAAATGTTGACAAAATTCTAAGCAAACATTAAATTATTTTCATAAATAATAAAAATTTCACAGGAATTCAACTATTTACAAATTTTTTAAATAAATTTCTTCTCAATAATTCTGTTATTTTCATAAATAATGATATTTTTTTTACAAAAATTCAATTATTTTAATGAATAATAAAATTCATCATAAAATTTCAATTATTTTTAATACAATTCTAATCAAATTCCTCGAAAAATTTAATCATTCTTGAAAATATTATTAAAATTACTCGAAAAAATTCATGTTGATAAAATTCTTCATATGGTAATTCAATTTAGAGAAACATTTATTTATTCAGTAAATTATTTATTTTTGTATTTAAATAATTGAATTCTCATAGAATTTTGCAATAAAAATAAATTTAAAAATGGATATTAATAAATATATTAAAAGCATTATAGCATGAATTGTTACAAATAATTGATAATTGAATTTTTTCAAAGAATTTTAATAAATTAATAATAATAAATTATTTATTAATAAATAAATAATAAAAACTTTAATAAAGTTTTTGAAAATAATTGCTTTTTTCGAAGAATTTACTTAAAGTTGTATTAAAAATAATTAAAATCCTGGAAAGAATTTTTAGTAATTTATGAAAGTAATTGAATTCTTGCAAAAAAACTTATAAAATTTTTTTTTTAAATTAAAATAATATAAAGAATCTTATTATTTATAATAAAGATTAAATCCTGCAACGAATTTTATTACATTTTTTCTAAATTATCATAAATTCTTTTGAAAACTTTTATTAAAATAGTAGATTTTGAAAATATTTGAATATCAACGAAGAATTTCATTATATTCGTGAAATGTAATTAAATTTTTGCAAAAAATTTAAGAAAATAATTCCATTTTTCTAGGATTTTATTTTAAATTGTATTAAAAATAATTGAAATCCTCAGAAAAATTGTATAATTTATGAAAATAAATGGAATTATTATAACTTTTATTAAATTTTTATTAAATAATTGAATTCATGTGAAAAATTGTATTACTTGTAAAAAAAATTAAATTCCTGCAATGAATTTTATTACATTTTATTTAAATAACTAAATTCTTTTGAGAAACTTTTATTAAAATAGTAAATTTTGAATATTTTTGAATTTTAGTGGAAAATTTCATTATTTATGAAAATAATTGAATTCTTTCAATGCATTTTATTATAATTTTTGTAAATGATTTAATTTTTTTTTGAAAAATTTTATGGAAATGAAAATTTTTATAAAACATGAAGATATGAATTACTCCGAGTCGAAGACTCGGAGTGATTCATATCTTCATGTTTAATAATAATATTCTTATAAGTTGTTGAATTTTAAAAATGTTTGAATTTGAAAAAAAATAAAAAAAAGTCAGGGAAAAACAAAATTAATTTTTTGTGGTAACCCTGAAATTGAAATCATTTTTGAAAAGGCAAGTAAGCCGATAATATTCATTTGTTATTTTTTTGTTCTAGAACAGTTATATAACTATTCTATAACAGTGTTCACTGAGTTGCAATTTTCAGCTTCATCAAAAATTGTTAACTTTAAAATTTTATTTCCAAAATTTAATGGATGCCAGTTTCAGCTTCACCTTTCTCTATTTTATAAAACAATTACCATAAAATACAATAAATTTTAGTGAACAGAAAAGAGTGAAAAATAAAACATCGAAACTTTAGTAACTGTGCATTTATTAAAACACAAACTGAACTTTGTATTTTTTAACAATGTATCATCATTTACATGAACCATCATTTAAAAGCAAAATATTGCAAAAAATTTTAATTATTATTAGGAAATTATTAAATTAATTCATAATTATTTAAAACATTAATTTTCTCAGCTCCTCGAATTAAAATCACAAAAAAGTCTTCTAAAAATCAATACCTAAATCAGTTGCAAATGTTTTTACATCTTCGTCGACATTGGAGTAATCTAAAAATAAGAATGAATAAACTTGCGCCCTCTTCAAAAAATATTGTGAGATTTTAAGATTTATTTCAATACAAACCTTCATCAACATTCTCTTCTTCTTCGTTTATCAAGTCGAAAACTGGTTCTCTAATTTCCATTTCCCCTTTTCGAGGATCTGTAAATATATTTATAAACTATAAATAAATTTCCGCCTGTAAAAATTACAACTAATATTTGCAGAAGTACTGTTAACTTATTGCAGGATATTTCTGTAAATATTGTCGTGAATCTTTTCAAGTTGGGCATAGAATTTGGAAACGATTTTTGAAAATTATTTCATTACAAGATTTTAAAAATCATAATACGCATTAATTTGAATACTTTCCTATCAGTTCACCAACACTCCATTTGAAGGGGGCCGCATTAACATTTGCAGAACTTTTTATACATTCCCCATTTAAACAATACTGAAAGATTGTAAAATATTAGAAGATGATTTTACAACTTACACATAATAATTATTTTCACTAAATTAACAAATTTTACTTAAGAATGCAATTTAATATCGACAAGTCATTTCCCCAATTATTTTTGATCTGAATCCGAAATACTAGTTAGGAATTTTTTATCAAATTATAATTTTTGGAATTAATGAGTTCAAATGTAAAAAATTTGCAAAAACATGATTTTAGGGGATAGAAAACTTGTTAATATCAGATGAAGCCAAAAAAAAGGTTGTCCAAAAAATTATTTGAAATATTAAAAAATGTTTATTTTGTTACTCCATTAGTTTCGCAAGGATATCCATCTTCTGCTGTTAAATTTGGATTGACACTGTTTTTTTTATTTCCAAGTATTATTTCCAAATTCATCTCGATGCACTTGATTGTACATTTAGTCTCATCGTGCTAAAAATATGAGAAAATAAGAATAATTTACATGATTATTTGATAACATTAAAATATGTATTCAAAATAAAAAGAATGATCGTTTTAATACTAACATCATACGACAAAGCCATTCCAATTTTTTGACATCGTTTCCTGGGAGATTCAAAATCATCATGCAATCTAACTAAGGGAGTAGTTGAAGCAATAGTGTTGACAGTTCTTAAAGTTGTTATCGTATTAAAGCAAATACCATCACTACAGATCTAAAAAAGAAAATAAGCTTAGTTAATGGTGGTAAATTGTACATATTGGTAAAATGTCACTTACTCCATTATTATCGCAAGGATATCCATTTTCAGCAACTAAATGATCATCCGTTTTTTTAGTTTCATTTATGCAATAAGCTATACATCCTTCGTTATACTAAAAAGCAGAGAAAAAAAAGGAAAATATTGAAATAAACACACTAGATTAAAATTATTTTTCTTCCACTACTAACATTATCTGCCAGAGACATTCCAATCATCTTACATCGTTCACTAGGGGACTTAAAACCACGCCATTTATCTGAAGGTGCAGTTGATGGAATATTACTTGACACTATTGTCATATAGATACAGTTTCCATCTTCACAGGTCTAAAGAAGAAGACAAATAAAATTTTCGGTGACCAAATTTACATATATTTGTTTGAAAGTCCCTTACTCCATTATTATCACAAGGATATCCATTTTCAGCAACTAAATTTTCATCGATTTCCTTATTTTCTTCATTTTTGCAATAAGTTATACATCCGTCGTTAAACTAAAAATAAATTAAAATAAATAAACCAATAATTAAAATTGAAAATATTAAAATCAACAAATTAAAATGTAAATATTCAATCCACATTTGTTCCAATACTAACGTCATGCATCCAAGCCATTGAAATATCTTTACATCGTTCTTTAGGAGATTTATATTTATCATTAGTGTTGATATTAGTCGACATAATTGTCATATTAACACATTTACCAGCCTGACAGTACTGAAAATGAATAAAAGTTTTAAAAAGTTTATTTGTGCATCATTTACGTAGTCGTTATATTTAAATATTAAAATTTTATAACCACCAAGGACTGAGCATTACTTAAAAAATTACGTTTCGAAAACTAATTTTATTCTACTGAAAATTACGAAAAAAATTTTTTGAACACAAAAAATTATTTTTTTAAACGATTTTTTGTAATAAAACTCTAGAGTTGAATCACGGTCATCAAAACTAATTATTAACCGGACTCAAGTGACCTTAACCTCGATGATCGCAAGCCAAGGAGTTTTACCCCCTGACCTACAATATCAGTGTAAAAAATTTTATACATTTATATTTTATATAGTAAATTGTCAAATATCTTACTCCATCATTCTTGCAAGAAATTCCATCTGGAGCTGAAATTATCAACTTTTCTGTTGTCCTTTTGTAAGTGGCATTATTAAAATTCTCATGAAAATTGTAAATGAGTTTTAAGCAGACAATCTGACATTCAATTTCGGACATCTAATATATTAACAATTTAGGATTATTTAAATTATTGTAATCTTGTTCTAATAATAATAATATTAATAAGTATTTTATTAGAAGTAAGTAGATATTTCGATCCATGGAAGGTAAAAGTATAGACATATTGGTTTTATGACATATTTTTTATTGATGTCAAATAATATTATATTAATTAAATAATTTATTAAATAAACAAAATATATAACTATTCCTATTGTTAACAAATCCTTATGATCTATTGTCAAATTAGGCAAAGACCATTTAGAAAAATAGAAAGAAACGAATCTTGCTTAAAAATTTAATTGCAAAAAATTGTCCTGCGAATTATATTGGCAAATCAAAGCGTTCTCTAAAAACACGTATTAACGAACACAAAAATAATAAAAACATCACAAAAACTGTAGTCAAAGCGCATCATTCTGAATTCAATCATGAATTTGACTGGGAAAATGCAAAATATCTTGATCGTGAACCAAATTTCAATAAACGATGTTTTTCTGAAATGCTTCACATAAAAATTTTTAAACATACAATTAATAAAAAAGAATATATTTTATTCCTAAATAAAATTTATTTCCCCTTAATAAGCAAATTAAATTTATGATTGAATTTCTTTCTCAAAAATATTGTCATCTTGTCATCGCCACGTGTTGTTTACATCTCAGTTCATTGACTCCTCCAATTTATCTAGAGTTTTATTTTTATTGACAACGATTTTAGTCTTGACGAAACGCTTTTTAAAACTCGACGTGCCAGTAATAACCATTTTTTTCGTTTTTTATTTATGGTGTAAATTTATTGTTTATTTATTTAGTCTTAGCCTGATGATGATTCGCTATTATTTTAATTATTTGACATCAGTAAAAAATATAACATAAAACCAATATGTCTATACTTTCACCTTCCATGGATTGAATTATCTAATTATTTCTAATAAAAATTGTTAGAAGGGAATATCATCATTATATTAAATAATTATTATTAATTATTATTATTAATAAATAATAACCAAAAACATTGATTATTATTTGTGGAATACTAACAGATAAAAATATTCCTGCTCCAAAATTGATACACTGCTTTTCAGCAGACTGGGACATTTCATCGTAACATTCTCCATCCAGACAATACTAGAGAATTAAAAAGTATTGAATTCAATCGATTTTAACAGACAAATTTGTATAAAATTCAAAATTAATATGTCTTACTCCGTTATCATTACACATAATTCCGTTCTCAGCATTAAACGATTCCCTTATGAGCATTTCTCCATCAGAAGAAGTATATTCACAGTTAAGTTTACAATTTTTTATAATGGCCTAGAATAAATAAGAGTATAACATGTATTGTTGACTTCATCTGACTATTGTAAAATTTGTAATAAATTTCAACTAACATTTTCAACATTTAATACTCCCATTTTCTTACATTGCTCCTCGAGAGTTTTATTACTTTTATACGGTTCAAAATGTTTTGGGAATAATTCATCAAGAACTGAATTCCTATCATTTTTTTTAGATTGTACTTTTACACAGCTTCCCATTAAGCAGACCTATACGATGAATAGAATATTTTAGATGTAGTGTAAAAATGGGCAAAATAAGTTTAAACTAATATCAAACGAAGTTCTCACGCTTTCAAAGTCACAAGGCGTTCCCTCAAGTGCTGCAAACCATAAAACATGTGTGTCATTCTGAGTGTGGCATTCTAAATGTTGACAAATTCTTGGTGACACCTTATGAAAAATAATCTTTATCACATTCTACTTAAAATTAAATTCTATACTACTACAATATTAAACAATAACTTACAAGCGCTCTCTCAAATTCTCGGGATATGCATTGTTCATCTGCTGACATGTATTGTCCAGAAAAAGTTGCTAGCATTTGATCATCAGTTCTATCAAGAGCTGGATTATTCTGAACGCACTTGGCTTGTTTTGAACTATATTATAAAGTGTAATTTTGTTTTTACTAGTTTCTGAAGCATTAATAGGTAAAAATAAAAGTAATATAAACCTTAGAGTCAATGATATATTTTCCTTGGAACACGGAGAAAAGTTAAATTGATTGTTCCCAAATCTATGATAGCTCATTAAAAAACCTTTTTTGAAAGTACACTTTTCCATCTGTTGTTTACTCAAACTTTTGTTATCATCATGATTAGTTCCCAGTCTAAAAAAAAAAGTTTAAAATTATAAAAAACTTTTTTTTATTGAAAGTAAATTACAATTTTTAAAAAATATGTATTGTGACTATTTTTGAACTCAATGAATTTATTTAATTAACCATATTGCAACTTACAGATGACCTAATTCGTGTACAGCAAGTTGAATATTGAAAGATATCCCATCATCTCTGATAATTGCACTTGAAGTTATTTTTTCCTTGTCCTTTCGACAAATACCTCCTATATATGCTATACCTTTAAAGTTTTAAAGTTAATATTTTATTCTAGTGCACAGTTTCTGCAATTAAGAATCATTTTAAATGATTTAAAAAAATTTTACCTTCATAAGACTGAGGTTTTTCAGGGTTAACCAAAAGAACAGCAATATCGTAATTACGTGGAAATTGAAAATAATTTTGAGTAAACATAAAATTTGAATATCTATCCAAAGCGCTAACGCCAATAAAGAATTCATCCATAGGTTGTATTGGATCCTTTGTTTATAAAGAAACATTTTATAAAGTACAATGGAAAAGAAATAGATAATTTTTGTCACTAATAGTTATAAAAATAAAATACCTCACACACAACTATTCCAGCAATGCTTAGACGAATTAAAGGATTTTCTAATTCTCGAAAATAAAGATCTACTGTATTCCAATATATTAGAACATGAGCTACAGTTTTTCTGATATTACGATTGAAGTGCCTAAAAAGAAAGTAAACTTTTTTTACGTAGGTCTAATATAAAAGTTTATGTGTAAAATAAAAGAAACTAAATTGAAACTTACAGAAAGAGAGATTTATCTACATAAAGTAAAATTTCTGGATATACAATACTTGGAGTATTTAGAGTATGTTTTAGATTATCATAGCTATACGGATAATTTGTAGAATAACCAGTATTCCTGCTATTTGATAGCGATACTTCTCGTTTATAAAGTACGTGATAATTGTTGAAACTATTATTTTTTGATTCGTACAGTGATTTCGATGAAACATCACGGCGAAAGCGTTTGACATTATTTAACGAACGTATTACTTTGTCAGAATCAATAATACCATTCTAAAACAGATAAATTTTTATCCTTTGAAGCTGAAACTTTAAAAACAACCATAATGGGAATTAAAATTTTAGAAATATACTTACGAATTCTGAAACACCTTCTTCATTTACTGTATGAGCTATTACAGATCTCGTTCTTCGATTGTGATAAAATGTAAGGTTCACATTCTTCATAATCTGCATGGCATTAATAATTATGATTTGATTAATTATTATTTGAATTTGGTTTTATTAAATTCGTATTAAATACCTGAAGAAAAGAGATCTTACTTACATTATTTTTTAAAACATATGTAAAATTACTGCCTTTTTTCCTTGCCAACCATATTTTTGTCTTTTCACCAGCAAAAAATCCTTCTGATGATTGTAAAATATATTTTCTTTCGTAGCCATTTCTTTTTATATTAATTGAAAGTTCAGGAATACTTCTTTTATGAATTGAATGTTCAACAGAAATCACTTCTCCATCAGATTCTGAAAAATTCAAAATTGTAAAATTACTTCTTATATTAGTAAGAACTTCTTATTGAAATTGTTTAAAACATTTATTTACGTTAAATAAATAATTATCTACTATTAAATAATTGTTTACATGTTTAAAAAAAAGTACGACTAATGTTTTCAAAAATACTTATTAATACCTTCATTGGCTTTATAATCAGTAAAATATTGTCGGGCCTGAGAAAAAAAAAATTTTCTAATTACTTAATGAATGGTAATTATTAATTACTACTGATTACATTTGTAGGAAAATGTTGCTATATTTAGTTTCAATCTTAATATTTTAAATTGACGAAAAATATTGTACCAACATTATTAGTTAATCGAATGCGGACAAAATTTTAGGATGGGATTGTTAATTTTCATGTAGTAACTTTTGGATCTATAAACTATAAAAATTGTTTAATTATCAATCACAAATGGTCATAAATGAAAATTTTTTGCCGCGTAGGGTACCTTTTAGTTACAAATGTCACATATTGTCAAATTATAATTTAAAATAAAAAATATCTACCTTTTCTGTGTATGCGAATGGGACAGTGAATGCACAAAGTAAAACACAGGCGTAAATCATTTTCGGTTCACTACTAATTTTTGGAAACTTAATCTGGTGTTTATGAATTAACAAAGCGCCACGTATGAATAAGATTTTATTTCAAATATTTCAACATTTTCTAAAAATACATAAAATGTGTTTTAGTTATCTATATAGATTTTATTAGCTTCGAGCCAGTAAGAATGCTACAAGTTGACCATGTTAGTTGGAAGAAATAAAATTCTTTTATAGTTTAAACTTTAAAGATAATAAAAATATTTGCATTAAAAACGCATTTCAGTATGAAAATTATTTAAATAAAAATTGGAATAATCTTATCTTTATAGAATAATTTGACAATTCAATGAAAAAAATGCGTTTGAAAAAAGTTCACGTTTTATTTTTCAAAATGTAATCAATTTAGTCAACAGCTTTTTCAAATAAAAATTTCCTTTTTTATTTTCCTTTTATTTAACCAATATTTTAATATTTTTGTAGTTGTTTGAAAATCTTTTCTCCAATAAATAATTTTAAATAAATAAAATGATCTGTATTTGTATTATTGTAAAATTTTTATTGTCAAACATTATAAAACTTCATTAAGAAAAAAGAGTGAAGAGTAAAACACCGAAACTTTAGTTAAACTGCATTTATTAAAACAAAAACTAACCTTCATCTTCTTTAAAAATCATCGTTTACATACACCATCATTTAAAAACGAAACAATTCTAAATTTATATTGTATTTTGTAATTATTATTAGAAAATTTTTAAATTAATTTATATTTATTTAAAACATCGCAAAAGATTTTACAACTTTATTGACATTGAAGAAATTTAAAGATGAGAATAAATCAACTTATAATCTTTTCACAAAATATTGAGAGATTTTTGAAAATTACTCAGTTATATTTTAATAATCATAATGTGCATTATTTAAAATACTTTCCTCTCAGCTCATCATTATTCCAATTGATGAATTCCCTATTAACATCTTCAGAAATTTTTATATCCATACATTTTCCTTTTAGGCAAAACTGAAAAATTGTAAAGTAATAAGAGAAAAATATTACGTGGATGATGATTATTATTTTTAAATAATATGAAAATAATAATAATTATTTTCATTATAAACAATTAAAAATTATTATTATTATTATTATTATTATTATTATTATTTTACTAATTTTACTTAAAAATGAAATTTAAGATGGAGAGGTCATTTCCCACAGTTAATAAATCGAATCCGTAACACTCAACAAGAAAATTATATCAAATTATAATTTTTGGAAACAGTACTGTAAAAAGTAAAAAATTTTCAAATTCGCAAGAATAAAATATTAAAGAATTTTAGTTACTCCATCTGTTTCGCAAGGATATCCATCTTCTGCTGTTAAATTTTGAAAGACAATTTTCTCATCTATTTTAAATATATCTTTGATACTTAACGCATTTTTGCTAGTGCACACGATTGTACAGTTAGTTGTATCATGCTAAAAATGTTAAAAAGTAAAAATAAATTAAGGGATTATTTAAAAATAATATTTTTTATATAGATATATAAAAATAAAATAAAACGTTTCATCTTTATAATACTAACATTATACGATAAAAACATTTGAATTTTTAGACATCGATTCAAAGGAGATTCAAATCCATCGTACGATCTTTCTGTGGGAGTAGTTGAACGAATAGTACTTGTCATAAATGACATATTAATGCAAATACCATCGTCACAGATCTAAAAAGAAAACAAGCGAAGTTATTCGTAATGAATTGTACGTATTTTTACAATATCACTTACTCCATTATTATCGCAAGGATATCCATTTTCAGCAACTAAATGATCATCGAGTTTGTTAGTTTCATTTATGCAATATGCTATACATCCTTCGTTATACTAAAAAGCGGAGGAAAAAATGAAAATATTGAAATAAACACACAAAATTGGATTTATTTTTGTTCCAAAACTAACATTATCTGCCAGAGACATTCCAATGATGTTACAACGTTCACTAGGAGATTTAAAACCATGCCATTTATCTGAAGGAGTAGTTGATGGCACTATTGTCATATTCATACAGTTTCCATCTTCACAGGTCTAAAGAAGAAGACAAGTGAAATTTTCTGTGACCAAATTAATAAATATTTGTTTAAAAATGTCCCTTACTCCATTATTATCACAAGGATATCCATTTTCAGCAACTAAATTTTCATCGATTTCCTTATTTTCTTCATTTTCGCAATAAGTTATGCAACCGTCGTTAAACTAAAAATCAAGAAAAATAAATAAACTTGGGTAACCTGATTTGCAGACAGAACTTTAAATTTTTCCCTGACCTCAAGAATATTTTAATTCACTCTAAAAATAATTAAATACTCAAAAAAATATTTAAATTACATTTACTTTTCTATAACTTTAATTGTAAAATTTACTTGTAAAATTATTCGGAACATTAACATTTTCATTTTTTAAATAAATATTTAATCATTGTTATTATTCTTTCATAGGAATTAAATTCCACAATTTTAGTTTTGAACTAAACTACTATTCTAATTTAATTAATTTTAATAATTTTGTAGAAAGTTCCTTAAAAATTCAATTATTTATTTAAAGAATTAAAGTTAACCTAAAATATTTTTGAAATTGACTTTTGTTTACATTTCCTGAAATTTTATACCTAATATTTTGTAAAGTTTTTGAAATTCTATTTATATTAATAATATTAATTTAATATTACAAAAAGTCAAATATTTTATCACTTTTGTTCTTAATTAGTTCAAATTTTTACTAAATCAAATTTACAGAATAAGTTTTGTGATATTATTGCAAAAAAAAAATTTAGAACTTAATTTATTTACCAAAATTTTTACGTTAATGGGTGAAATTTTTTCTATTTTAAAACATAACATTTGTTAATACTTTCTATATTAATCTATATATATATATTACTTTTTGTATTTTTTTAACATTTTATAATTTTGAATCTAAAGTAATTTAAAATTTTCATAGAATTTTACTAAAATTTTTGAAAATAATTTACCTGTTTTGAAGAATTGTATATAAATTTTTTTGAAAATAATTGAATTCTTTCGATGAATTACATTAAAAATAATTAAATTTCTGCGAAGAATTTTATTATATGTATGAAAGTAATTGAATTCTTGATAAATTTTTTTTAATAAATGAACCTAAATCGATTTTACATGCTCACTTAGAAAAGGTTCAAACTAAAGAAATTTACAATATGAAAAAATTAAATAAATAAAAATGTAAATATTGAATCCACATTTGTTCTAATACTAACGTCATACATCCAAGCCATTGATATATCTTTACATCGTTCTATGGGAGATTTATATTTATCTGAGGGAGTAGTTGTTTCATTGGTGCTGACAGTAGTTGACGTAATTGTCGTATTGACACATTTTCCATTTTTACAGTACTGGAAAAGAAAAAAAAAATGTTAAAATTGTATATTTTATTATTTTGATTATAATTTTTATGCAATGCAGAAACAAATTATATATTAATCATATTTCTTACTCCATTATTATTGCACGGAAATCCATCTTGAGCTACTGCTGTCACTGTGGTTAAATTCTTGAAAAAAAATGGGCCACGGAATACATCAGAATATTTATAAAGTTTTTTAATGCAGACCAAGTGACATTCTCTTGAAGACTTCTGAAATATTAACAATTTAATATCATTTAACTTATTTTCAAAAATAATAAATAAATTCTCATCAAATTCGTTTTAATGATATTGCTCATTTTATAATTAAATATTTTTAAATCACTTAAATCTCTCTTCACTCTAAAAAGAGTGAAAGAGTGAAGAAGAAAAGAGTGAAACTTTTCTAAAGTGAAAATAAAATTCCAAATCTGTGAAAAATTAAAAATAAAAGTTTGTATGAAATCTGTGAAATTGAAAATAAAAATTAAATTAAAAATAAAAGTGAAGTTTTAAAATAAATTTCATAATAGATCCTCAAGTGACATAAAAAATGGAATATATTATTATTTGTCGAATACTAACTTTTGAAAATCTTGATGCTCCAGAATTTATACACTGCATTTCAGATAATTTGTAATTTTCATCGTAACATGTTCCATCCAGACAATACTATATAATTAAAAAAATTTTATTTAGCCAATATTAACAGCCTTATTTAAAAATTGTTTAAAATTCACATATATCTTACTCCATTATTATTACACACAGTTCCATCATTGGGTTTATAAAATGTATTTTCAAAGTATCCCGTACTTGTTATACCTTGACAGTTAAGACTACAATCACTTAAAGTAGCCTGGAATAAATTTTCAATAAATTTTCACAAGTTTTGTTGAATTCATATAAATATTGTAAAATTTGTAATAAATTTGAACTTACTTTTTCAACGTTTAATATTCCTCTTTCATTACATTGCTCCTCGAGAGATTTATTACTTTTATACGGTTCAAAATGTTGTGGGAATAATACATCTAGAACTGAATTCCTGCCATTTCTATCAGATTGTACTTTTACACACTTTCCCATTAAGCAGGCCTATGAGATGAATAAAAAATTTTAGATTTATATTGTAAAACTAGGGTAAATAAGTTTAATCTATTATTAAATGATCTATTATTAAATTATAAACACTAGTTGATATCATTAAATTTCTCACGCTTTCCACGTCACAAGGAGTTCCTTCAAGTGCTGGTTTATTTTGATAAACTCTTGAATTATTTTTGACGCATTCTAATTCTACACAAATTCTTGGAGATACCTTATTAAAAATAAACCTAAATTATTACACTTTTCTAAAAATGAAATTCGCGTATAACAATAATAGCTTACAAGCGCTCTCTCATATTTTCCGGATATGCATTGTTCATCTGCTGACATGTATTGTCCAGAAAAAGTTGATAGCATTTCATCATCAGTTCTACCAACAGCTGGATTATTTCGAACGCACTCGGTACGCTCTAAACTAGTTTGCAATGTGAATATGTTATTTAAAATTAGTAAAAACATCATTTGTATCACATATTTCGTTACATAGGTGAATAAAAATAATTTAACCTTAATGTAAATTTCATTTTTGCTTTGGAACACGGAGAAAAGTAAAATTGATTTTCATTTACTCTATGATAACTCATAACAAAACCGTTCTTAAAAGTACATCTTTCTATTTCTGCTGCACTTAAATTTTTGTTATCATCATGAGGAGCTCCCAATCTAATAAAATTAAATTATAATATAAAAAATTATTCTTTCAAAAGTTAACCATATTTTTTGAAGCGATAATAATTTGATTCGTTAATTTAATTATTATTATTTTCAATGCTACGCTTACATATGACCTATTTCATGTACACCAGTCGAAATTCTATGGAAGTTTCCTGAATCACTAATAATTGATACTGAGTATACATTTGGTTCTATCTTTCTACAAACAGTTCCTTCATATGAAATACCTTTAAAGTTTTTAAAGTTTATGTTAAATTTCATTAATACAAATATTTTGTACTTAAGTATCATTTTAAATAATTTTAAAAACTTTTACCTATTACTTTCTGAAATATTCTTGGTTTAACGAAAAACACAGCAATATCGTAATCAAGTGACAAATTGAAATTAGTTTGATTGAACATAAAATTTGAAAATCTCAGCAAAGTCCTTCCATTAATATTGTATGTATTCATCGGTTCTATTGGATCCTTTGGTTATAAAGAAAATTATATAAAGTACTATGGAAAAGATATAGATAATTTTTGTCACTAATTATTTCAGTTATAAAAATAAAATACCTCACACACAACAATTCCAGCTATACTTAAACGAACTGAAGGATCATCCATTTCTCTAAAGTAAAGAGCTACTGTATTCCAAAATATTAAAACATAAGTAATAGTTTTTTCTATACTGCTATTAAAGTGTCTAAAAAGATAAAAAGTTTCTATTGTTAACTCTAATTAAAAGTTAATAATTAAAATATATAATAAAATTTAAAAATTAAACTGTAACTTACAGAAAAAATGATGTATCTACATAAATTAAAATTTCTGGATATACTATTTCTGGAGTTTCGTTAATTATTTTCAAATCATCATAATCATGTGCGGGATTTGGAGAATAATTATTTTTCCTGCTATTTGGTGGAGATATTTCTCGTTTATAAAGTACGTGATAATTCTTGAAACTATTGTTTTTTGATTCGTACAGTGATTTCGATGAAACATCACGGCGAAAGCGTTTGACATTATTTAACGAACGTATTACTTTGTCAGAATCAATAATACCATTCTAAAACAGATAAATTTTTATCCTTTGGAGCTGAAACTTTAAGAACAACCATAATGGGAATTAAAATTTTAGAAATATACTTACGAATTCTGAAACACCTTCTTCATTTACTGTATGAGCTATGACAGACCTCGTTTTTCGGTTATGATAAAATGTAAGGTTCACCTTCTCCATAATCTGAATGGTATTATTAATTAAATTCGATCGAGTATTTAAATTATTTTTTTAATTTTGAATTAAATAGCATATGTACACAGATCTCACTTACATCTTTTTTTAAAACATATCTAAATTCTTCGCCAATTTTTTTTGCTACCCAGACTTTTGTTTTTTTACCAGCAAAAAATCCTTCTGATGACTGCAAAATAAATTTTCTATCATAGTTATGTTTTTTTATATAGAGAAAAAGTTCAGGAACACTTCTTTTATGAATTGAATGTTCAATCGAAATCACTTCCCCATCAGATTCTGAAAAAATTCAAATATGTAGAATTACTTCGTATTGCATACTTTCTTTAAAATTGTTTAAAAAATTTATTTACGTCAAGTAAATAATTGTCTGTCATTAGATAAATGTTTACATGTTTAAAAAAGATTTAAATGTTTAAAATTGAATACCTTCATTGGCTTCATGATCAGTAAAATACTGTTGGGCCTAATGGAAAAAATTTTCTGATTACTTTATGAATTAACAATAGTATTTATTAATTACTACTGATTACATTAGTGGGAAAATGTTGCTGTATCTAGTTTCAATTTTAATATTTTAGATATTGTATACTGTTATAAATAGTTAATCGAATGCGAGCAAAATTTTCTGATAGAATTGTTAATTTTCATGTGTTAATTTTGAAGAATTAAGTTTTAGTACAAACTAATGATATTAAAGTGATAACTAATGATATTAATCTAGAATATTAAAAATCTAGATATCTAGAATATTAAAGAAAACTCACTTTTTATTTTACAAACTATAAAAATTGTTTAATTCTAAATGGCAAATGGTCATAAATTTAAAATATAAATTATTTTGCTGCGTAGGGTACATTTGAGTGTCGAATGTCACATATTGTCAAATTATTATTTAAAATAACAAATATCTACCTTTACTGTGTATGCGAATGGGACAGTGAATGCACAAAGTAAAACACAGGCGTATATTATTTTCGGTTCACTACTAATTTTCGGAAACATAATCTGACGTTTATGAATTAACAAAGCGTCACGTATGAATAAGTTTTTATTTCAAATATTTCAACATTTTCTAAAAATATATAAAATGTGTTTTAGTTATCTATATAGATTTTATTAGTTTCGAGCCAGTAAGAATGCTACAGGTTGACCATGTTAGTTGGAAGAAATAAATTTTCTTTATGGTTTAAAGATAAAAAAAAAAATATTTGAAATAAAAATGAATTTAATTTTAAAAATTATTGAAATACAACTTGAAATATACTCACTTTTTCTAAAAAAAAATTCTTTTTCGTAGTTAGTATTAATTTTTCAATTGATATGTAATTAAATTAAATAATTTTCATTTTAACTAATAGCTCTAGTATAATTATTATTATTATTATTATTATTATTATTATTATTATTATTATTAGCAAGTATCATTTAATTGACATGAAGAAAACGTAGTATTTCCTCAAAGATTATACTTTAAAAAAAAAATTAAAATTCATTTAACTTCTGCTTTTAAAAAATTAATTATTTCTTTAATTAATTACAATAATGTAAAACATTGCAAAAAATTTTTTTAATACTGCTTGGTTATTTACGATAAATCAATTTCATAAATTAATAAAATTACATATTATTATATGATGATGTTTACGAAAATTTTTATTTTTAATTAAGATCAAGATATACATAACATACATAATAAATTTATCGGATAAGAGGTATTTTCCCTTTTAAACGTAAAGAAATGAAGATTTAATCATTTTTATCATTTGCTCTAAAGAGGACTTTCAAGTATAAAACCAGACAGTCGAATAATCGTTTATGCAAGTGGATAACATTGCAAGCTGTAGTTTTTTATACTCATAGTAAAATCCAAGGTAGGACAATTAAATATTCAAGAAACATTTTTTACTAATCTTTTAATTATCGTTTACTTATTATCGTTTAATATCTATTCTCATATAAATTGTAAAAGTTAATCGTGTTTTTAATTTGTTACATATTGCTTCCTCGTGAGGAAGCTTTGTAGTCGTTTAATTTACAAAATTTTTAAAAATCCTTTTAACAAATTTTCTTCTATATAGGACTATGTTTTTTTCCTTATTTTTGTTATTTTTATTAATATTTGTATTTTTCTTCTTTTCTTTTTATTAATATTTTTTTTATTTTTTGACTTATTGCTTTTATTTTTAGTATTATTTTTATTTTTTTTTACTTGTTTCTTTTATTTTTATTAATATTTCTTTTTAAATTAAACAATTATTTCCTATAATTAAATAGGAAAAATTTTTCGAAAGATTTTCTTTAGTGTATAATTTTAATTTAGTTAAAAATTAATAATGAGAATAAATAATTTTTTCACAGATAATTAACTATAATATTTATTTGCACTACGAATAAATTCATTAATTATAATTTATCCATTATAATTCTATAACAAATAATATTTTCTTGTAGATTGCATTAGAAAAATGCATATGAAAAAATTTTTTGCCTACTCTTTAATCTTCTGTGTGGTATTGTCACTACTCACGGAAACTGTCAATGCTGATCATCCTGCTCCCAATTCAGGCAGTATCACTGTAAATGGAACAGTTGATGGAAAAGATATCGTTAAAGGAGTTAAGAAAGTTGTAAAAGAGGGAGGAAGAGTTGTCAAGAAGATCAAGAAGAAGATTAAGAAAATTTTCGGTTGAAAAATGTTAATAATTAATAATCAGTTATTTTATAAGTAATAATTTTTAAATTCTTGTAAAATCCATTGTATAATTCTAAATATCGTTAAGTTAAAAATATATATTTTTGTTGATTAAAGATCTTGTGTATTTACAATTCTTTATTATTATTCCTTCAAATAAGTAAATAAATAAATAAACAATAAATAAATAAATAAATAATAAATACAATAAATAAATATTTATTAAATAAATATTTAGTTCATGCAGCGAAAATGTTTAACAGACATTAGAATTACTAGCGAAATTTTATTAAAAGTACTGGAATAAAATTAAATTTTTAGAATTCTTAAGAAAATTCTGAATTTTTATGTCTTCTTTGTTCTTCTCATAAACTATGAAATTACCACGAATTCTAATTAAAAAAACCTTCAAAATATTTCTATTTGACAATAATTTTTATTCAAATAACCTAATTCTTAAAGAACTATCTTAAAATTATTAGAAATTATTTCATGAAAAATTTTACTTAAATATTTTAAAATTAATTGAATTTTAAAACAGTTGCGTTTAAAATTTTCATAAATAAATGAATTTCAAAAGGTTTTAATTTCAAATTTAAGAAAATTTGAATTTTAAATGAATTCAATTAAAAATTCTATAAAGAACTTAATTTTTTGAAAAAGTTTATTTTAAAGTGAAATTAGTTGAATTTTTTTAATTTAGATTTAATATTATTACAAAAATTGTAACACAGTTCTTAAAAAAAATTTAATTATCCTAATAATTATCAAAATTCTTCGTAGAAATTAAATTATTTTCAAGGATTTTAATAAAATTCTTTGCAAAATTCAATTACTTTTAAAATAATTAAATTCTTCGGAAAAATTCAATTATTTACTGAAATTTTTAAAACATCCTCGTCGAGATTTAAATTATTTTTATAAATAGTAAAATTCTTTGCCGAAATTCAATTATTTTCAAAAATTTTATTAAAACTCTTGGCAAAATTTCAATTTAAAAATTTTTTTCAATTCAATGATTTTCAATATTTACTATTTTAATAAAATTTTCCAAACGAATTCAATTATTTAAAAAAAAATTTTCATAGAATGATACGCAAACATTCAATTATTTTCATAAATAATAAAAATTTCACAGGAATTCAATTATTTCGAATAGAATTTGCATTTGTCGAAAAAATCAATTATTTAAGAATTTTTTATAATATTCTTCGCAATAATTTAATTATTTTTAATAAAATCTTAATTGAATTCCTCGAAAAATGTATAATTATTCTTAAAAATTTTATTAAAATTCGTCGAAAGAATTCAATTATTTAAAAATTTGTTGACTAAGTTTTTTTATAAAAATTCAATTTTAAAAAACATTGAATTATTCACTACTTTTTTTTATTTAAATAATTGAATTCTCGTAGAATTTTCTCATAAAAATTGATTTAAAATTGCATTTCAGTTAAAGTTTTGAAAAGGTTTCTAATTAAAATCTTTGAAAACTTGAATTTTTCATACTTTTAATGGAAAATGCTGTAGAACTAATTTTTTCAAAAAGTCTATTTGAAATTTTTTTGAAATTATTTGAAGTTTTTAAATTTTAATTCACTGAAAAAAATTTGATTTAAATAACCGATTACTTGTTTATTATCAAATAAATATTTACTTGAATCGAATAAATTTTATTTAAGTCAAATAAATTGTTTATAATTTCAGTATTTGAAGCAAATACCATTTAATTAACTCAAAATACAAATTATTATTAAAACAAATACAATTTTTTTTATGAAAATACATTTATTGTGAAACAAATAAAACTTTTACTCAAACAAATAAAGTTTATTTTAAACCAAATAAATTTTTTTTTTTTTTTGAACCAAGTAGAATATTTTTTAAAGCCAATAAAAATTTTTTGAATTTAATAAAATATTTTTTCAAGAAAATAAAGTTTATTTTGAAACAAATAGAATTACTTTTGAACCAAATAAAACTATTTAAAGTAAATAAATCTTATTTAGAACCGAATAAAATTGTTTTTGAACCAAATAAAATAATTTTGAACCGAATAGAACATTTTCTGGACAAATTCAATTTTTATTTTTGAAACAAATACATTTTTTATTGAAATGAATAAAATTTTTATTGAAACATAAAGTTTATTTTGAACCAATTAGAATTTTTTTCAACCAAATAAAACATTTTTGAACTGAATAAAAAATTTTTCTAAAAAAATTTAATTTTCCTTTTCGAAACAAATAAAATTTTTATTGATACGAATTTGAAGTAATCGTTTATTTTGAATGGAATAAATTTTTTTTTCATCATGCTGGTCATGAGACTTTTAAATTTACTTCTACATTTTTAAAACAAAATTTTCAGAAAAATCTTATTTTTCAGTTTCAGATTTTTAAAAGTTTAATATCTCCGGCTAATCTGAACAAAAAATGTTCAGTAAGGAGTCAAAAGATGCGTTTGAAAAAATACTGTAAAATAAAAGAAAATTGATTATGTGTTTTAACATTTTTGAAAGTTATGGTCAAAAGACATTTTTTTTTACAAAATTTGGAAATGGAAAAAATAGTCCAACTTTATGAAATGGGCTGAAAATACCCTCATTTCATGTCCTCTAAGGAGACCTAAAATTAAAAAAAATTAAAGCCTTTAGCTTTTTCTGGTTCTGAGATAAAAAAAATACTTGATTCATGAAACGACATGATTAAAAGCATTTTTTAAACTGATACGTCTATAGCTGTACTTGAAATATAATCAGTAGCATTTGGTAATAATATACCATATATTTATATTTCGATAAAAAGAAGACATTAATCTACGATCGATAATCATTTTTTTTTATCAAACAATGACTATATTTAAATTGATATTTTTTTTATATATAAAAAGAATTACTGATACACCCACCTCCCTCTCTTTTTTTTACAATGTGCGTAAAACAACTCCACTGATACAATAAGGTATTTCCCTTTTTATATTTATTATGTATACGAAATTTTAGATAATCTCATCTAATCACCACAATTACTGGCAAAATTTTTAATATATAACGCCTGAGCAGTCTGTGAAGAAGACACAAAATGCAACAATTGTTTTTCTAAAGAGTTTACTTTCTTAAAGAACATTTTCACACTGTTTGATTTCAATTGGTAATTATTATTCATTTTTTATTCTCACAATTTTAATAAATAATTGTATCTAAATTTATATTCATATAAAATAATTTTTATTATTATTATTAATAATATTATTATTACAAATATTATTATTATTTCAGTTATTATTATTACTACCACTAGACCCAAAAAAAAAATATTTATTTGACTCAGAGACAACTAAACTTTTTATTTGATTTTTTTTTTTTTATTTGGC